TATGTGGTTTTTTTCTCTATTTATTTCATATATTCTGAATCTATTATATATATATGTGTCATTAGTTTTGTTAGAAATTAATTATATATAGATTCGATTTATATTAATCATCAAAAATAAAACTTTTCACTTATATTACACAATACAAATCGTTAATCTTATGTATGTAATGATTTTTTACCCATAACATAGTATGAGTATCTAACTAGTTCACAACTAAATTAGATTGTTGTGAATTCATTGAAACAAAAAGAAAAAAAAAAAAAAGGTTTCAGTAGGCCGTGACCCGTGATATTCTTTGTTGGGCCAAGTAAAATGCATATCCAGTGATTTATCTTCACTGATTGCAACTGGAGATGAAGATCAAAGGGTCTAGCCTGGCCCAAACAAATCCAATTAGACATCGGGCCCATTGTACATGTGGAATTTTAATTGGAATAATAGTAAAATTGCAGCACAAGGTCACAAGCAAAGCCTATTTGTATCACAAGCTCTCAAGCTTGCCCACGTAAAGATCAAATGAAATGAAATTGGGCGAATCCATTTCGTGACTGGAATTTGGACTGGCCCTAATCCCTCTCTCTCTCTCTCTCTCTCACTCTCTCAAAACCAATTGAGGTTCATACAAGGTTGTTCCTTTCCTGTTCCTCTTTGCCCTTGATTTGGTTTTTGTAACTCAGGTAATTGGACATGATTTGCATGTTCAACGGCTGCAGTCCAGGAAAATAGGAAAAAAAAAAAACTTTCGGTATTTGGGCATGGAGAGGCCATAATATATAGGCGTAAACAATTAAACAAGACAAGCTAAAAATCATTCGAATAAATTATAAATTAGTCCTTGTAGTATTGGAAACTAATTCAATAGTTTTTTAGTTTGAAAAATTAATAATTAGTCATTTTTGTTCATTTCATGTTCTTTTTCATTTTTTTCATTTTTTTTTTTTTTTGTTTTGTTTTAAGAAATACAACAAGAACAAGAAAAGTAAATTATATGAGAAATTTGATGAGAAAATATGATTTTTTAAAAAATAAAATAATATTAAATTAAATATGCTCAACATTGGTTTTGGTTAAAAGAATAATTAATTAATGTTTAAACTAAAAAACTATTTAATTCATTTTATAAAATTAGAAAAAATAATCTATAATTTACTCAAAACATACACAAGAATGAGGTACAGAGTCTTGCGAACGATAGCCTGGTACAAAGGTAACGAGGTTCCTACTTCCTATCATCCTTCCATCGGTATCATTATCAATATGAACTCAAGATAAAGGCTTTGAGCAAATTTGGAAGTATTTCTTAACTTTGTCGTTCACGTTGGCATCTCTTGCCCCAAAAGAATGCTTTAATCTGAATATTTTTCTCAAAGCAAAACCCACTAAGCTAATTTCTGTTACTTGCTTCTTTCATCAAGTCATTGAGTGTCATGTCACACGCTACATCCCACTTGCGACTCTGCTCTACCTCTCGATCAGTCGGCAGAAATTAATATATTTTTATTGTTCAAGCTTCATTATCATTTCATAGTTTTATATTGTTATCTCAAAAAAGTCTATTTTAAGCCATCTCTATTTGTTTGTTTTGCAATCAAGTCATATTTTTGGAGACAAATTATGCGTACTTTATTACAATTACTTCTTCCACAAGTTGAGAATCAAGACATTTTAGGTAACACCTATCTACTATATGTAAAGACAATCTTATTAGTACTTTTATTGAAAGAGTAGTCTTTTGTGGTCAATGATTGCGCAATCATTAAGTATTATACAATGCACGTCCATTCTCCCACTGATTAAGCTTTTGGAATGTAGTCTTGAGTTAGAGGAAAAATAAAGAAAGAAAAATTGTTTTGAAATTATAGGGCTATGGCTATATATTGATAACAAGGAATCCTCTCTCATGCAAGTTGTCTGAAGGCAACGTGTCACAGGATAATATAAGTTTTCATAGTTCTAGAGTTCTTATTAATAATTTAGACTGACAAAACATATCAACAATTACAAAATTTGGTAGTACCATGAGTAGCTCCTCCACTTTAATAATGCGTGCCCAAGACAGAATACTTTGGTTCAATTAAAACAACTTGAACGGATAATATTAGTTATGGCAATACCTAATACTCGATAGGATTAATTATTTAATATTTATGAGAGAGTTACTGATCAAACTATTAGTATATTAGTGAGAGAGTTTTGAAAAAAAAATTTTTTGCTAAAGATAAAAATAATTAGTCTTTCTTTATAATAATGAGAGATTGATATTTATAGTAAAACGAAAATATTTTTTGATCATTAAGATTTTACTACATCGTTCATGTTTAGACAATCAAATTTGAGTTGAAAAAATCAGATTCTTTTTGTTTAAATTGCTTTAATTTGCTAGCACAAAATAAAAAATTAGCAATTGTATCTTCTTTTAGTGGACCTTGATCTGAGTTCACTAACTTGATTTTTCTAATACTTCTCAAATATGAGACATGACCCTAGCTTTATTAGAATATTCGTATTCATCTATGCGAGAGCAAAAATTTTATGTTAAATGGGACTTATCATTAGTTTAATTCATTTATTGTGTAAATTAGATCCATGAAAAATTTAAGAAAGATAACATGCATAAATTAATATATAAAAAAATTAATTAAATTATTGATTAATTTTTATGAAAAAGTTGAGCATATACTCATTTATTTTCAGTAAGAAAATAAAAACTTTAAGGGCTCTTTGTACTCTATATATTACAGTACTGAATGTATCGATTCACCTCTATAAATAGCTAGCTAGAGCTACCAGAATTTCATGCCAATCCGTAAAGATTCGAGCTACATGCATAATCCAGTCGATTAGGTTCGATTGATAAAGTCAAAGAAAAAGAAGAAGTCCCATTTTTAGAAAATGGTCAAACAGATCAAAAAGTGAAATAAAAAGTTACTACTTGTCTCATGTCAAATCTACGTTTCTTGATGAATTACATCCTTTATTGTCTGGATCAGTACCGTTTGTCATAATAAACTTTCGATTTGGTTGAGGCTACGCAATCGATTTACTGGGGATAAAGTATGCCAAAAAAAAGTCCACTTGATATTTAACTTTCTCAATGGCTATTAGTAAAAACTCCACCCAATACGTTAATGTGGTGGCTTGTCACCTCTCAAATGTCCCACTTATATTCCCATATTTATCTAATTTTTTTTTAATTTTTTATTTTTTTTTTGTGATTCATGCCCAATTAGTCCTCATGGAGAGAGAGCTTTGTTTGACTTGTTGGTATCAGAGGAGACGTTCAAGAAAAAACAGAAGGATTCTAATTACATTCACTAAAAGTACAAGAGGAAAGTTGGTAGTCAAATCAAAGATCGAGAGCTTCATAATCATGCGTGTTTAATTAATTTGTTTATAGATGTTCTGGCCAAAAAGAATAATTAGAACCTTTGCACTACTGATGAGAAACTTTCAGTGAGAAATGGAATATCCAACATATGTCCAATAACTAAACTATCAATATTATACAAATAATGATAGTAAACCAATCTTTCACAAGTGCCTGTCCTTTTCTGATTTAGTCTTCACGGACAGGTTTTCGTTCACCCTTCGTATCTAGTGTAGGGTACTACTTGAACCAATGATTTTGTAAATACATTATTTCCCAGTGCCTTTGAAGAAATCCGAAAATATTTGTCTCCAAATACTTTTTATTTGGAAATGAAACGACAATACGCTAATCTAATCAAACTTTTAAATGTTACACAGAAAAATCGAATATAAACAATGATTAAAGGTTCGAAACATATTTGGATTCAATATAACCGGATGTTTGAATCAAGAGACAGATCTTATCAAAATCCATTAAAAAACTTGTTGAATTTTTGGTTTAACACTATTTTTCGCAAAAGGCATCACGTTTACTGCTTAACACAAAGCGCTCAAGAAAGAAGCGGGCCTAGCTAGTACATACATATGTTACAAATAACAAGAAACTCAAAGCCAATTGATCGGGATCGGGATTGAACAATACTACCCTTTACCTTTAAGGCAAATAGTGCACTATTAATTTCTCTCACAAATTTATATATGAATGCGGAGCTGATAAGAGAGCACGCGAAGAAGTACAGCAATACATTGACTGTACTGAACAATAATTATTTCATCAAAAGAAATCCCTGTTCCCTACCTTTTCTTCTCCTGTATATGAATCCTCATCCAATCGATCCAATTGTCTGGATATTGTAGTTCGTTGAACCACATTTTTTTTAACAATAAAATTACTTTTGAATCAGTTTTTGTATGTCTTTAAATTAATTTTCTTTAAATGTGATTAAGGAATATTTTTTAACATATAATTTCAGGTATTGTGAGGATAAATTTTTAAAAATATTTATCACAAAAATCGAACTGTAAATGTAATCTAACATTCATCACTTGCTTACGAACAAGCTAGTACAGGCAAGTATTTGCAACTCATCATTTCCTCTTCTATCTTTATATTTTTTGAGATTCTTGATTAGTTCTGAACATCTATAAAAAAAAAAAAAGGTTCCCAGTTACTAGAAAATAAATAAATAGGTATATGTAGTATATAGGATTGTAGCCAACATTATAATATAATGTTATATATTATTAAAGCCCCGTAGTTATTCCACGCATGTGGATCAAATATGTTGAACTTAAATGTCGCATTTCAAAAAATTGCCAAAATAATACCCCCTAACAGTGACTGTATCAAACTAGGCAAAAACCATTAGTATAGCTTCATGGAAGAGCCAAATAAGAAGAGGAAACCCACTACTTTAAACATAGAAAGAAGACTTTTTCAGCTGAGCTTTTTCTAGATTCTTAAGTAGCTTTCATGTATTCAATAGTAAAGGAATACAGAACTGCACTTCTACTTATACTTTTTCTATATTAACATCTTGCCTTGCATTAATGCTTCCGTTCAGAACCTACCTCTGATTTTCCTTTCAGTCTCCTTTAATTCAATATTTCTTGTGTTATATATCACCATGGAGCAAGCTCAATACTGGTTGTGGATGAAGAGGAAACAACTTTTAAAGTCACAGGAATCAATGAACTCCAATAGCGGTTCGTGGGAAGAGAAAGCTTTTGCAAAAGATGCATCTGGGCATCTTGGTGGATGCATATGGCCTCCAAGATCTTATTCTTGCAGTTTTTGTAAGAGAGAATTCAGGTCAGCTCAAGCCCTAGGTGGTCACATGAATGTTCATAGGAGGGATAGGGCTAGGCTTAAGCAGTCTCTTACTCCTCAAAATGATGCTTTTCAACATCAAAATCATATCCAAAGTTCACTTAGATTATCGGAGTCTCATTTCCCATCAGAGGTTTGCACCTTTGATAATTATGATCTTGAACCTAAACTTTCTGTCTCTAGAACTACTAATATTGCATCAAATCTTTCCTCTTCTAGGGTTTCAGCTTTATCCACTCAAGAAAATTTAAGTGATCATGTCTTTGTTTCTCCCGTTGCTTCTTCCTTCGTTCAAAAACAGCATAACGGGTATCCTCATCTCCGCAATAGTTTATCAGGGTCAGATCATTCTTTGGCAATTAGACTTCATTCAAAACCTGAAGCAGGAAAGGATCAAGATGGAGTAGATTCTACATGCTTGAGCCATGATAATTTTGTTGCAACTGATTTATTTATGGGCTTGAGTTCTGTTATTAATAGCCAGAGTTTATCGTCACCGGCCGGTTCTTGTGGTAACGAGGGAATCAGTTGCAAAAGGCCTAAAACCAATGTTTCAGTAGTCTCACTGTTGATTAAGCCGCGTTCAAATGATAGATACATTCTTCAATCAGAGGCAAACAAACCTAATTCTAGCTTCAAGGAGGACATAGATCTTGAGCTCAGGCTTGGAGAGCCACCAAAGGTGAAGTAGTAGTAGTAGCTATATATATATATATAGGGTGCAATTGTATGGGATTAATATGTATATGTGTGAAAAAAGAAAATAGTCTTTCTTAATTCGGCACTTCCTCTTTTTCCCCTTTTCTCAAGTTTTCTAGCTATGATCTAATGGATGACAGGCAAATAACTCTTGTACTGATATCCAATTTGAAAGGAATGAAAAGCTTTTCTTTTACATCTCATTTCTGATATGTTTATATACTTCGTTTTTCCTCAGTTCAATTAATGGTTTTTGCCTATCAGAAAAAGGGAAATAATTAAAATAGTCTCTCTTAAAATTTGTCACTTCCATTTAATTCTTAAACTACTTCATGAAAAATGAGAGGTTTTGAATGTCATTTTAGAGGACTGCCAATGTCAATTGTATTAGGGTTTCTGCATTTTGAAACCCACTTTTCAAAACGGACGTATACGTGCGTCATTAGTTATTGAAGATGGATATATAGTCATTGGGAATTCAAATCTCTCGGCGTGGTTCAGGAGTAAATATTTAACCAAAATTGTGAGGAAATCAGGGTTAATCTTCTTTTGCACCCTAAATACGAACCATTAGACATTTAACTGCAGTTTCAGAAGATGGAATAAGCAAGAGATACAAAAAATGGCCTCAACTGCGGGGTTTTAAAAGGGGCGAAAGAACTGACAGTAAGTCACTTCAGCTACATACTTGTGCATTAACATTAGGGAACATCATTTCCCTTTTTACCTTTGTTATTATTTCCCTTCACCAAAAAACCAGCTATCACACCTGCACTTTTCCTCACACATGAATCCAATCCAAACAAAATCCAAAAGCTTCCTGTTTTCTTATTCTTTCCTCTCCGGAATCTCTAAAAAGTCCAAAAACATGCACCAACTCCTTAGAACCAAATTGAATAAAATAAACAGTATTGCACATTTACTCAAAGAGAGAGGGGAAAAATTAATAAAAAAGAACTGTTTGCTACTACATTACATGTCTATATCACATCATGGACACTATTTACGCGTTCTTTTGTATGTACATGTTACTGTTTTATCTATTCGCTATCAACGACCAAAGCCTATCGAAGCCTAAAAATGTCTAGGAAATTAACTTTTTTTAAGACCCTAAGCTAGAGCTGTCTGGTTATAGGACAGGAATTCAGCAAAGTAATGGTATTACAATAATAGTTGCCATTTAGCCACATTTTGATACAGACGGTTCTTCCATAATAAACGGCGAGTTCAGTGTTCTATATTTTTGTTTTTTCAACGTTTCTTGATAAGGGATCTTGATGAAACATCGCTTTAGTTTGACTTAATGTGAGAGACACATTGACATTGCTGTACCTGTACATACAGGGAATTTAAGTTGTCCAAAAAAATCCTATATATATTATATACGAAACGGATTATTCAATATATATATATAAAGAAGATTATTCAAGATTGTCGTGGTGTTTTGTTGTGTTGAATCCGATAGATAAAAAGAGAAACATAAAGGGAAAGTGAGGTTAGTTGCTTGGGTTTCTATGAAGTACTTGGTTTGTGTAAGAGAAATTAAAGAGAATTGGTTGGGAATTTTGTCTGGCATAGAGGTTAAGGAGTTGCATAGTTATGAATCTGAATCAACTACTGCTGTAGAGACAGATTAGGGTTCAGAGAGGTGCACATGGACATATGATATGTCTGTTTCTATGTTGCTTTCAAAGATTCACAATAGGAATGTAGAGAAGAATGAGATCTACTTCTCTCTCGCTCGGCCTAGCTTATTTGTGTGCAGGTGGTTACTGTATTTGGGATGCTTTGAAAAATTGTACAGTGTTCAAAAATAGTATACATGGCTTGCCTCTTTGGTCATAGTGTATTGTTTAGTGTACTTTTATGTCCCTTGACAGCGTTCGCTATTGGGTAGCAGTTTCTACTCTGCTGGCTTGGAGAGTGTGAGAACTGAGAGTACTCAGTCGTGAGAAGGACTCTTTTTCAGTCTCCCTCAGATTCTACATGCCACATGACCATCAGATAACATTGAAATGCAGCATGATCCAATTAACTCGACTTCTTAAACAAGTTAAACAAAGAGCTACAGAAGTGGTTGCATAGTTCCAAATTACTGCCCTTATTTAAGAATATATAGATCTTTTTTTTTTACACATTTATAAAGAATCCAACTCCGTTTTATAAAAATAATAGCAATAATAATCGTTATCGTTATATAATATTATTATTATCATTATTTGTTCGTTATATTAAGAAAAAACTGATTTTTTTTTAAAAAACACCTACTGTTACTCTCAACGTCAAATATCTTCTTCTTTTTTTCAGTTTTTTACTGTATTATAAAAGTCCCATGCACTCAAGTAATCATAAAAAAAAATGATAACTATTATTATTACTCTCGATGACTTCATAAATAAATATTTTATAATGTATTTTATTATTATTTATATAATATAAAAATATTATAAGTATTTTTTATTTTTTTATAATAAATTCAGTTATTATTATATGATATATAAATTATAATAAATTTATTAATAACTGTTAATATATTTATGGTATTAAATATTATTATCGTTATTTTACTATAATGATAAGTCGTAACTATAACTGTGATTATTTTAACAATTATATTTATAATTTAAAACTATATATGGTTGTTCAATTATATAACTCATTGCCAAAGTAAGCCTCTAGCCCAAGAGGCCTAGCTAGAATTGGAACTATTCGGACTTTGGAGTTGGCTAACGAGCGTATGGAATTGGAAGGAGCGGCTGGTGAGACTTAAATATGGTACCTTCCGGAAATAAAATAAATATTTGTATTTTTTTCATACATGCGCAAGCTCAAGACTAGCACAAGCGAAAAGTCTCGCTCGTTAGTCGCTAGTGCATATCTTCGTACATTCCCGTCTCAAAATGTCAGAAAAAATATATATACTTAATTCATTAAATTGGAAAAAGAAATGGTGTTTTGTTCTTGAGAGTTTTTTCTTTTTTATAATTAATTGCAAATTTTCTTGATTTAAATTTTTAAATAAAATAAAATAAATTGCTTATTTTGCTTACAAACAAACGAGCATTCACACTGCCTGACAATTTGTGTCTATAAATGAATTATTTTTAAAAAAAAGTTTATGTAAATAAATAGACATAGTCTAAAGCTTAAGCATTTGCTAGTTTTTTTTTTTTTTCCCATTATGTAATTCAAAGCCAAAAAAACCCAGCCAGGTCTGGCGACCTGTGGCTGCACATACTTGTCAATGCAATGGACTGTCATTCTGTCAATAACTCGATTGCCCATTGGATGATGTGAGAGGCTTCTTCATCAAATTGGGCTGGATGGGACATCATTTGGCCCAATTTTATTTAATTGTTTGAAATTGTGGTTGATTTCAGCCCTGCTTGGCTGGCCCTTGACATGGTATGATTGGGATTTAGCTGCTCCGTTCATTCACCCAACAGAGCGCGACCCATATTTTTGTGGGCTGTACGTACAGAATTTCATCATAGAATCGCTATGGGTTTGGAGTTTGACTGTGTGGTACTGGGAGCAGCTAAAGCAACCCTTGCTCGACTTATAGCCGATTGATGGAGTTGAAAACAAACAAGGCAGTGGAGTTATTTCCACACTATTTTTTTTCTTACTCGATTGTTTATTTTAGAGACAAATATAATCTTATTTAACACTTTTCTAGTTTAATATATCTTTAAAATATCAAATTTTAAAATAGTTTATCTTTATTTTCTTAAAAAGAACAGAACTCTGAAGCTTAAAAACATTGCTATTTTATTGAAAGTTACTCAATAAATCACATTACATATTTTATAGCACCGAGTGTCATATACAGTGTAGATCATAAATTATTACTAGTGATGCTTTATTATTTTCTCTCCGAATGTAATGACTCAACCTACTAAAAGTGGGTTACTATTTAAAAATTAAAAAAAGTTGTTTGATATATGCTACATGGTCTAACTCATAAAATGGCTTTAACATAACCGCTTTAAAAAATTAATTAGGAAAAAAGTTAGTTAGAAAAATGATTAAATAGAAAAAAGTGATTGCAAGCGTAATATTCCATTGCTCTGCGCATTTGTAATTTAATAATGTTACTGTTTAACCAAGGCCTTTTGTTTGGAGCAGTGTTATGTTGGCTGCACTGGAGCCTTTTCTAATAAGCTGGAACAACCCAATCAATCATGAAAAATTTTATAATACACAAAAAGTAATTATTTTTTGAACCTACTTTGAGGAGAGAGATAGACAAAAAAAAAAAAGAAAATTACATTCATGCCCATAAAAAGTGATAAGAAGATTGCCGGAGCTTTTTTTTCAAATGGGATAGTTTTAAATCTTTATTCCTAAAACATGGTATTTTTAAACTTATTTATCAAAATGAATATTTATTGACACATAGACATATATGTCATCAAATAGTATGATTCGGATTTTTCACATCTCACTTTAAACTTTTCGAGTAAAGCTGAAACTCACCCTCATCCTTCACTTCTTTTCTTCTCTTTTTTATGATAAAACTAAAACTTGCCCTATAGTTAATGTTTCTTTGCAAGTTTATACCTCACCAAAGGCACTTCTTCATATGTTCGAATCTATTAGGATTCCCATAATTCTAATTCAGCCCTCTTATTTTGTCTCTTAAAAATTGTTTATTGCAACAACCTTTTATTGTATGAAATCTTTTCATTCTTTTATGATGGTGTATGAATATGATTCAAGAAAGTTTAAACGATTATCTTACCTATCCGTGTTTATTAAATCCTGGGTCAATGTTTTCACACATTCTATGCCCAATGTTGCAAACTTGCAATGAATCAAATGACATAATCCCTTCTTCCCCCCCCCCCCAAAACTAACAACAAATTATGTACGAAAAAGGATATCCACTTTTCTAAGAAAAGAGACAAATGCAAATTTAGCCCCATTTAAGGTACCTTTGGCTAGTAACATTTGAAGCAGGAATTGAAAATTTTTTACCATCTACATTTTGTACCATTCCTTTAAGTTTCTGGGTGAAGTTAAATGGCAACTCCTGAGATGGTATACGTTATGCCAATCATTAGCGTTGTAGCGGATGCCTTTTGTGTCCTTTATCCTGTGAAGTTGATTTTCAAGAAAAAGTGTCGTGGACTCTTTGAAGCACACTTCGAAGTACTAGATTTTTTTTTATCGAGCATTCATAGCCGATGGACGGTTCATCGAGGAGAAAGCTCGGACATGACTCGCTCTCCTCTTCAACGTACAACGATCTCATTTGAGAAGAAGGCAAATTAATTACAATAAAGGAAAAATAATATGGATAAAAATATCTAGTTTGAGAATTAAGTTTAAAACTATCCCATTTAAAGAATAAAGATTTATAAATATTCTAATTTGGTAAAAGGTCAAGATTTTCACGTCCGTTCAAATTTTTTTATTTCTTTTCTCTATTTCTCTCTCTCTCTTTGCGTGTTTATCTCTCTCATCAAAGTGAGCCTAAAAATAACTACTATACATGCTACTTAGTTACTCTTTATGTATTATAAAATTTCTCAATCAACCACCATCAAATGACTACCACTTGAAAATGCATTGACGAAGATTGAAGGTCCAACGGATTTGGTATGGTTCCAAAAAAAAAAACTGATGAATTTTACCATCCACGTATTTGTAACAGACAAGTTAAAAAAGAATTTGTATGTGGCTAAGCGAGCACCTCAACGTCATTTTCCACAAAAATTAATCGCATGAAACGTTTTGCCATTTTCGATAATTTTTTTTTAATATAACCCTCCAACTCTTAACTTTTTCTTATTGTATTTCTCTATTTCTTAATTTGTTTTTTTAGTTTTTATTGTATTTTTCTGTTTCTTAAATTTTTTTAAAATAGCTCTTTCTCGATGATTTTCTTTTACAAGATAAATTAATTTAACTTATCATGATTGATGTGTTTTTTTCCCACGTGTCACGTTTACTCAAAAAATTAGTCAAAAAAACAATTAGAAAAGCTACGTTAAAATGTATCAAAAGCAAATAATTCTTTTCAACAGTAGCTCCCTTTCAACCTTTTACTCTTTGTTTGGATAATTCCTCCTAAGAGGAAAGAAAATAAAGGAAAGAAAGTGATAGAAAAGAAAAAGGAGATGAAAGAAAATCATTTTTCACTTGTTGTTTGGATAAGAGTGGAAAGAAAAAGAAAGAAAAGAAAATGTATTATTGTATATTTACTATAATGCCCTTAGGATTATATTTTTTATTTTGATTTTTTATTCTCATTAATTTTTTTCATAACATTTATTTATTTATTTTTCCTTTTTAATAGAAAAACAATAAATATAAAAAATATAAAATAGACAAAAAAAAACTAATTTATTAATTTTTAAAATAGAAATAACTAAATAATTTGTTTATCGAAACTGTATAGAACAATGTATAATTTATTCCTACACAAAATTACACTTAGTTTTGATTTATTAAAAGCTTATCTAAAAATATTTCTTAATTAATTTAAAGAAAAAAGGAGAAAAGAACAATTGAAATCCATTGCAGACCGTGGGGTGGGATGGGAGGAAAATTAGAATTTATTATTATTGTTTTCTTGTCACATGGATGGAGCAAGGGTAAAAACAGAAAAGCAAACCAAATAAAAAGTCAGCTGCATGTTTCCTCTCAAAATTGGAAGGAAAATGGGTCCCACGAAAATATCATTTATTTTTTTCTTTCCTCTCATTTCCTCTACAATCCAAACGGTGAAAATTTTTCATTTTCACCCCATTTTCTTTCCTCTCCCTCACTTTCATCCCTATCCAAATAGAGGGTTAATTCTCCTCCACAAGACTACATACACTTCTCCGATTGTCAATGTTATTCCTTTGTTGTATATCTTTCACAATGACACTTGTAATTTTAATTCCATTCCCGTTTAACGATGGAAATGGGTTGGATATCCGGTCGATTAATCCAATCCCCTGTTCCATCCATTAAAAATATACATTATTTGCTCTCATAAAAAAAAAATTATTTATTAAACTCATAACCAAACCAATCTCCATATCCATCTATTTAATATCTCTTAAAAATATTTTATCAAAATATTTCATTTTAATCTTTAAATGTTTCAAAAAGGTTATTTTGGTCCTTAAAATTAATATTCTTTGCAATTGAATCCTTTATTTATAAGCATTTTTTAATTTTCTAAATTTTCATACAAAAATATTTTGATTTTGATTTTGATTTTTAAAAAATTATGCAATTAGGTTCTTGCATATTATTTTATATAAAAAAAATTAGTAGGTATAAAATGGTACGAAAACTATTTTGTTGGTATGTATGTTTTTAATTCTTACCTAACTATAAAAAAATTTTAATAAGTAATTATTCGATTATATAGAATGAATATTCATGTCATACTTAATCCATTGTCGTTTTTATTTATCCATAGCCTAATAATATTTTTAAGTTAACACATTTGAAGCCATATTTATGACATCTTCCATGGAAAAGACAGCCGTGCAGAAGAAATGTTTTCAGGAGAGAGATCCATCAAAAAAGGAAAAAGAAACAAAAAGTTACATGGGCCAGATCTAGCTATTTTTTATTTTTAGAAAAATGGAAAAGAACATGGATTTAGATACCATCCTTTTCAATTACTTAAATACAATTTATTTTTTAAGTACTCTAAAATTTATGGCTGCGATAGAATTCAACTATGAGCTAGCTTGGCTCTATAAAGATCTTCAAAATGGTGCTACCTGTAACAGCTATGGCAGGTTGGCAGACAGATAGAGAGGATAGTTAGTCCAGAGATTGGGGACACAATGAGGGCGACACTATGCAGCAGTTAACGAGTTGAAGTCTAAAAGGATTTAATAATAAAATCTCTTTCTTTAGAATAATTCAATTAATTTAATTGATTTAATAGTATTTTAAGATGCCAGATCATTTATATTAACTATTACTATATATATTGGAAATATCTTTTTATAAAAAAATATACAAGCATTCGAATTAGCAGTCAATTTGACCTTAAAAATAATAAAAAATATCATATTTCTTGAGAAAATAATGGTTTTGTAACCAAACAATCTAAATTGGAAATAAAATCCTTAAATTGTCACAATCCTAATAATTTGAGTATTTTTTATGATTAAATATTCAAATTAATGATCAACGTTTTGATAATAAAAAAATATTATTTATTTAATTAAAAAATAATAGTTTAAAATATAAACAATTTAAATGGCTATAACCTAATAATTTAAAAAACATTAAACTAATTGTGAAGTATGCGCATGTATAGTCATGAAAAAGAAAAGAAAAGCAACAAGGAAAAGTTGGATTTGAATTTTCTGTTTTGCTTTGGTTTCATCCACATAAGCTTTGTCTTTTCTATTTGTTTTGTTCTGCTGTACCTATAAATTGGTATAGCTAAATTATCTTTTTCTTTCTGAAAAGTCCAGAATTCTAACTTCTCACAAGGCCAAAAAATAAAAAAATAAAAAAAATTGGCCTGCAATTTTATCAAAGGAAATCGAACATATAAAACGACACACACAGATACACTGTCAAACGGAGAGAAAATCAATGGCAATGTCAGAGAGCAGCAGTTTCAAAGACCCAAGGTGGTCTCTCCATGGAATGACTGCTCTTGTCACTGGTGGCACTCGTGGAATCGGGTTCTCTCTCTCTCTCTCTCTCTCTAACAACAAAGTTTAAAACTTTCTCGTTGCTTTTTTACTTCATGGATTTTGAATGATTCAAAGAAGGTCCATGAAATCTGAATCACTTCTTTTTTAATCTTTGAGGTTGTTATATGTGCTTTTTTTATTAGGAATGCAACAGTGGAGGAACTTGCAGGGCTAGGAGCGAGAGTGCATACATGTTCTAGAAATGAAGAAGAGCTCAACAAGTGCTTGAAAGAATGGGAGGCGAAAGGTTTTGTGGTCACTGGGTCAGTTTGTGATGCATCTTGTCGTGTCCAGAGAGAGTAATTTATTGAGGAAGTGGGTTCTGTTTTTAATGGCAAACTCAACATTCTCGTAAGTAACCCTGGAAATACTTGGTCTTTGATATAGCTTTGCAGTTTCTATTGAAATTGGATTTTGTTAGTGGATGGTTTCAGTTATCGTTTAGACTTTATGGTTTACAACTTGTAGATGCATCAGGTAAGAGTGGCACTTTGGTTCAGTTCCATTGAGTCATCTCTTTTAGGCATTCATTGACTCTTTGCCTTTGGCGAGCTTTATATTTCACCTTTTTTGACTTTAAGATGGCTAGTAACTGGAAGCATATGAATTTCGACCTTAAATTTTTATGAATAAATTCATAATATAACTGATGTAGGATTGATTTGTGTCATTTGTGTGCTCAATTCTCATGCAACTATATTGGGTAAGGGGTCAGGTCAATTGGAAATTATATGGTTTGTGCTTAAAAGGCGAAAGGTTGTATTGTTCAACTGGAAATTGGGCTGTTGAAAGCCATAGTTTTTGCTTCCAAGAGAAGTAAACCAGAACAGTCTCTGAATTCTATTCCAAATGTTCGTTGTACACACCAAATAGTTATTGTAATTTTGATAAAGGAATGCTGCTTAATGACCCGTGATATTGTGATAATATTCTTGTTCTTCTTTTTGTTCATGATGGAACATCCTTGGCTTTGATGTGCTATACGGATTTGGTAGATAATTATCTGCCCCTATCGTCCCATCTGTAAGAATCAGTGCAAAGAGTGTTATTGTTTTCTGCACTTTTCAGAGATTTAATGCAACTCATATATTATGTTTAGGTAAACAATGTTGGTACAAATATCAGGAAGCCAACCACTGATTATTCTGCTGAAGAATTTTCAAACCTCATGGCTACTAACTTTGAATCTGCATACCATTTTTGTCAAATTGCACATCCTCTTCTAAAAGCATCTGCAGCAGGAAGCATTGTTTTCATTTCCTCTGTTGCGGGTCTTTTGAGTATAGGTAGTGGGTCAATTTATGGAGCAAGTAAAGGTGAGCGGCTATCGAAATCTAGTGTCCGTTTTACATTATGAGTGAGAACTTTGTTGATTGTGAAGAAGTTCAAATGGTTTTCTTCCAATTTTCTATTCTCAGGTGCAATGAATCAACTTACAAAAAATTTGGCTTGTGAGTGGGCAAAAGACAATATCAGGACCAACTGTGTGGCACCCTGGTATATCAGAACCTCGCTTGTGGAATACGTACGATTTTTTAACCTGCTTGCAGTAGTATTATTTACTTCATCTTCATCCCTTGAGATAATAACCTGAAAAGGCATACCAACTAAACCTCGGTGGGATACTCTTTCATGCACATGGATGAAATTTGATTTCTCATTCAATGCAAATCCTTCTGAAGCATTTCCATGTCATCATTTATGTCAAAATTCTCATCTAAGACCACTGGCATTGTTTCTCCTATAAGTAGTGAAAGCCCCCTGATCTTCTTGAATTGATTATTTAATTTGGTGATGGATTGATCTTAAATGTTAAAACCATCAATAACATGGAGATCAGCAAGCAGGAAGCAGGAAGCAGGAAGCAGGTATCTGATTCCATTTTAGGGATGCTTTTTGTTCATGTTTTGTCAAACTTACGTTCTTTGGTGCCAAGTTAAATTGCAGTTGAATCCAGCATTTGTATTGGTCGGGATTTTAAGCCCAACCTGTTAACCTTTTAACATTAGATGGGTGGCTGCTTTAGGAAAGTTTGAGAAAACTTCGATGGAAACACATTATTGCAAAAAACCCACTTATCACTCATAAGAACCCCAAGGGTTTACCAAGTGGTTCCTCAAGTCAGGATGATTCACTCTTGAATTGAATGCCCTTGCATTAACGCTTGCTAATAGACCTCTAGTCCAGCATAATGGATTATTCAGGTTTTCAAAAGAGCCCTCATACCTCAACCGCTAAATAAATATATAAACATGATGCTCATCTCAAGATTCATGTCTGGTTGGTTCATATCTTTTATGGTAGAGCAGCTTAGTGACCTAGAGTTCATCAGTCTGGCAACCTTGACCAAGCAGTAATCAAACTAGGCATCAGAAATTCTGTTTTATTATCCACTCAATATTTCTTTTTGGGACGACATTTCACGAGCTACTCATTTCTACTAAACGAGCCACACATCTGTCTCAATTTTTGCCTAGTTTTCTGGCTGGTGAGGGGACTGTATATATGTGTGTGTGATTTGGATGGTTGAAATGGTTTCTACTCTTTGCAGATGCTCGATGACAAGGTGTTTTTAGACAAAGTAGTCTCTCGAACCCCTCTCCAGCGCGTTGGAGATGCAAAGGAAGTCTCGTCCCTGGTGGGATTCCTTTGCCTACCTGCTGCTGCTTACATCACCGGACAAGTTATTTCTGTTGATGGAGGGTTTACTGTGAATGGATTTAACCCCGCATGAGACCCGGTTGGGAGATAATCAACTGTTTTCCTATAAAAGGATTGCATGCGTAATATTCTATTGCTCTGCACGTTTGTAATTTAATAATGTTACTGTTTAACCCAAGGCCTTTTGTTGGGAGCGGTGTTATGTTGGCATCACTCAAGCCTTCTCTAGTAAGTGGTTGTGATAAATTTTGCTCCAAATCTTTGTGTCAATATTTTTCAGCATTAGTGATTAACAATGGGAGAAAGGTCTTCAATCTCTATAGTATTTTGATTTAGGTCTTAATTGTTTTTTCAACAATCAAGTTCTGTCTTTTTGTTGATCGATCTCTGGCTATAATTTTTACACATGAGAGTGAAATAACTAAAAAATCCAAACTTACATGCAAAGTGGAGGGTGGGGAAGGTTTTTCCTATCCTAACTCCATCTCTTTTTTATTTTAATTTAAAAGAATCGAATCCCAGATCCAGATCTAAAGACCACCTCTGCCTCTCTCTCTCTCTCTCTCTCTCTATACTTCAAGATTAATTATGAAGTTTGGCAATAATGGGCTTGAGGATTGTGTACGGTGTGGTTTTCGTTTCTTTCTCATGTGCCTGCTTCAAGCTTCTCCATCTCTTTCTACACCCTGTATTTAACTCCTTGTTCTTTGAATTTTTCTTTATATAATTGGTTGAATTGAAGTAGAGTGCGCTACTACTTGAGATGCAATTGAATTAGATTCTGGTATTCTTGTTGGTCCTTTTGCATCACAGGGTTTGAGTGCTTGTGTCTTGGGCTATTTGTCATGACATTTCCAGCACATCTCATTATTGTCTTTTGTTTCGTTGGTTATGCAATGATGTTGACATAATACCAGTTTAATAAGAATTTGCTAATATGTTGTGCTATTCAGTTTATTTTCATTTTTCTTTTTTTTTTTTTTGGATAATAAGTACATTTGAATTTTTCAATTCCAGTCCAGTAAAGCTAATCTTACCCCTAATGGAAAAGGAAGGAGATTGTTTTCTCTTTGTTGATCCTAGTAATAGAGGAAGGAGAGGATGAAACTTGTGGAAGAATAATTGAAAAACAAAGGAATCATATTTAAAAAAAAAACCAAAAAATAAATAAATATTGTATCAGTTTCACATGCATGATGAGTGACTACAAAAAGCTTGTAGTCTAGTGTTAGTAGTCTTTTGAAAGAAGTTTTGAGTTTCAATTTTAACAAATTGATTCCATTAAAAACCTTGGTTGTGTGTTGGGTGTATGAGTTAAAAAAAAAAAAAATACATGAGAGTATCTCTCTTAGAACACGTGTTGTTGTTTCATTGGTTCATGTAACTCTTACAAGCAAAAAATATAGTGAGAGATTGATCAATGAAATGACAGAACTTGATTATTGACCAAAAAAGAAAAAAGATTTGAGATCTAAATCAGAAAAATTAAAGATTGAGGACTTTTTTTGTTTGAACAAAAATTTAGAATACTATAAAACTAATTAGTCTTAACAATATATGGTGTTCTAAGGTTTTTTTTTTTTTTCTTTTTCCAATAGTGGGCCCAAAATATTTGGAATGTACAGTCGGAAGAGCCTTTCTTTCTGTTCTTTTTTGGGTTTGAATCCGATAACATAAAGCTTTTGGTGTTATTTTTTGGAGACTAGATTATTATATATTTTGTGCGCGAATTTTTTTTTTAATATCTTTTTTTATTTGAGTATGTAAATTTTGAAAAAAACAATCAATTATTTTTTGTTGGTTATTAAATTAATATGTTATCATGCTAACATGTTCGATATGTAAATATGAATAATTTATTTTATTTTTAATTGAACGTTTGTGTTTTTGTTTTTTTTTCAATTTGAGAGTATATGCTTTTATTTTCCTATTTGAGTGTATGTGTTTTTAAAAATTTATATGTAATTGCTTTTAATTTTGCAATTTGATGAATATCCGTTTTGTAATCTCATATAAACCATATTTTTTATCAAGTTAAATAAAATTTAAAATAAAAACAACAAACAGTAATAATAATCCATTTAATTTTAAAAAAATAAGAATAAAATATGAATTATCGAAATATATATAAAAAATCAGATACTCAATTTCCTTCGTTTTCTCGTAAATCAAACAAATTTCTAACATTAATTTAAAAAGGAAAAAGAATTCCACCATTAATTTTAATTTGAATTATTTTTTTTACCCAGTCAATTATAGTTAACTCAAATTTATTCTTTGGTATTTTTTTTTATTATTATGTTATTTTAATTTGAATAATTTTTTATCTGTTTTGCTTATTTTAATTTTTAATATTAACTAATTTAGTCAAGATATAGTTTACATAAACTTATGAAGTGGGTATTCATTAGATTTAATACCATTCATCAAATTTTTTTAAAACATACAAACACACAAATAAAAAAAAGTACATTTAATCAGAGAAACAAAAGTACATTCACAAATAAAAAAATAAAAGCACCCACAAATTAAAAGAAAATTACAGATAAAATATGTAATAATATGTTTCGAAGACTTTTGGTGTTTTTTCCTCTAAAATCAACATGAATAAGCAAGATTTCAACTTAAACGTCTTCAAATAATGATTTGGACGCCCTCTCGCCCCACTAGAGTGGCAAGCTATGATCAATCATCGTCTTTTAAATAACTGTCCTTTTTTGCCCTCGTCTAGTCCTTTTCTGGAGCCGGCTGTCATGTGATGCCCCACCTCCACTCTCCTTCACTGACCTCGGCAAACCAGTTGCACCTGGGCTCGGGCTTTGTCCAGGGACAGCCAATGACTCTGACCTGTTAGAAAAGCATAACCTGAATAAATCATATGTCAAGTGGAGTGAATAGAGTGTTTTTAAATAAGATATTTATCCATACTGAAAAAATATATATTTTTATAAGTAGATCTTTTATAAAGATATTTAATTTTTTAAATTAAATTTATAATTAATTAATTTTTTCTCTGATAGTTAATTTATTTTTTTAAAAAAAATATAACAGTTTTAACTGTTGGTTCGTGAAAATAATAATTTTTCTATCGATAAAATTAACAAAATTATGATATTTAGCAAATCAGACATCAAAACCTTTATGCTTTACATCATATGAGTCAGATACATTGAAAAAACCTCAATCGCTTCTTAATTAATTTAAAATATTTCCGAGCCTTAAATAATTAAATTTTATATCACATCGACACACGTCAAGGCAGAACCAACCTAAAGTTCGAAATACCTTATCGTTTTCAAGCTCGCATTACACGTACGTGTCATGAAGTAGCACAGTGATTTTTAGCTTTTAGAACCTTTCAGGGCATCGACTGCTTTCTTACGTTAATGTCTTTTTTGGGAAAGAAAGAAATAAATTAAGAGAGTGGCTTTAAGCAAGCAAGAGGTGCATGCCAGTTGCTGTTTCTCTGGCTTCTGAGTCATAAATGTGAAAAAGGTATGGTTAGGTCAGTGACTGACAGGCTGTAATGCATGCAAGCTTTCTCAGTCACGTGTCAACTGGTTTGTGTTACGTCACCTCTCACAAAGAGTTAAGAATCATGCTTGCCAGCTTTTATGTTGTGAGTGGCTTTTTTTTATGGTGGGCAATCGATTGTACTGCCCTGGACCCCAGCTTTCAACTTCCATGGCGACCTCAATCAGCTAGAACCGAACTATTTCATCCAGTGGAGTTTGTGTCAGGTAACCCATGGGGAAGTAGAATTCAAGAATTATTAATCAAAACGGTTTGCTTTAACCTACTTGAGAGTAGGACAAATATTGTTGAAGTAATTATATACCGTAATTCAGGTAATAATTAAAACTAATTTAACTAATATATTATTATTAATTTATTCTTTTAAAACAGGGTGCTGCCTTTCCCGTTTCGGAGTTCGTGTGAGCGAGTGCTTACTGTGGATTGAACGGATATAGAGCCCGAAAACGTTATATTATTTCATAACTGAACCTTTTACGTCGTTTATTATTTATCAAAAACTTAGAATTTTGGCTTTATTTTATTATTCATTTCAAAATTAATTTGAAATGTTATTTAAAGTATTAAAAACTGTATTCCATTCTCTTATAAAACAAAAAACGCTCTATAATAATAATTCAGGAATTCAATGTTTTTATAAAAAGAAATACAATTTATGATGTATTGATTAATAATCATTATCCATTCTTTTACGAATTTCATAACCGTTTAACTATCCATTTCTAATATTTGAATTGATTTAATTATTTTCAGTATCTTGTTTTAACTCCTTTTGTGAATAATTATTAGATATTTGTAGATGAGAAATTCATGACCCTCCACGATCTATGTACAAGAAGAATGCATTGATTTCTCATATCTCGATGATAGCCTCGAGTTCCAATGGATCTAATTTAAAAGACACTTTTCTAATGGATTTAAAGAAATGTAAACAATTTCTATAAAACATATGTAAATGGAGCTCACCCTTTTCCGAAATTCTCTTGTAATTTTTGTCGTGTATGGTTGTGGCAACTACATGGTACTGTTAAACCATCTTTTACAAGTAGAGTTTTTTTTTTTTTTAAGTATTTTCATTTTACATTAAAGATAAATTTTATAACATTTAGAATAAAAATAATTTAATTTAATTTTTTTAATAAATACGATTTAAAAATTTAAATCTAGAATCTATATATTAATTAAAACAATTATTTAAAAATCAACCCGCTTATTATTAAAGGTGTAGTTTAAATTTATGGATGGCATGCTGGTAATCCCAATCGTAATCTCGATAGAGCAAATGTTCTTCTTCGAAATGGATGCGGCAAGTGGTTGTCCGATTTTAATGATAATTTAGGAATTGTAAATCCATCAAAGCAGAGCTGTGGCCCGTTGCCTTGGATCTGCCCTTTGCTTGGAGGCAAATTATAGACAGGTTGGGCTCCATATAGATTTAATGGTTTTACTGAAGGGTAAATTTAATTCGTGCCATTGAAGCTTGAAAGATTTTTCAATTCTTTTTTTATGAAAATTTCATTTATATCAATTATCTTCTTA